TCAAAATATGCTGATATGCCCTCAAAACTGGAGGCTCCAACCAGAACTGCCAAAAAGTCAAAAAGCCTCACACAAGTAAAGCTAAATCCTCAACCCAGTCAGAGCATCCTGACCTGATGCTGGTAGCCAGTTGACAGAGGGAGGGCAAAGGCAGTCTGCCCCATCCTTTCCAAGCTGCAAAATAGGTCCCTGACAGGCTAGAAAATAGGTGACGGCAACCATGAGCAGATTTATGATGCAACAGGAGGGTAAGAGAAGGAGCAACATCGGATTTTCCATAGTTCATGCCTTTTCAGATGCTGGTGCTCACTTCAAACACCTGTCCAGCACAGGAAAGCTCACATCAATCCCTTTACGCATGGTGGACATCAAGCTCATTTTTAAGGAAGACAAACACCCAAGTGCTGTCCTTAGCAATAACCACAGCAATAACTATAACTCTATCTCCCTGCATTCCCCTGTATCTCAAAACTAAGACATAGCTTTCCTTCTCTTAAAGCCCAAATTTTCCCCGCCTGAGGAGTATTCCCAATGCACAACAAATGCATGGCGGAAAGATTATGGAGAAACTGGACAGAAAGAGATAAAACTTATTCTTTCTCCTATCTTTTGGAGTCCTTCATCCCTGTACAACTGAGCACTAACATGTAAAATATTGGAGTACTTAAACAGGTCCTGTAATGCACCATCCCTTCTCCCTCCTCACATCCCTCCTGGGGTGCAGCAAGACCCAGCCAAACGAGGCTAAATTCATGCCGGCAGCCAGTGGAGACAGCCCATTCGGATTTCTTCCTTGTCGTGCTGGACTAAGAGATGGAAGAGGCGCCGGAGACTAAGTTTGGATTAGAAAAGGCCGAGTTTTGCAGTCAGTTTCAAAAATGACAGCTCCTTCATGCAGAGAGGGTTCCTTTACCAACATGTCTCCCTCTCTCCCCACTGTGATACTCCTGAGCTCCTTGAAACCCCATCTCAGTGTTTGTGCAGCCCATTGCCCTGTATCATAGCAATGACTCCCTTAAACCAAACCAAGGCAGGGGCAGGAAGAGGGTGGCACCAGCTCAGGCTCTCTGTGAACGCGCCACAATTATCTCCTGTTTTCCCCAAGCCACAAGGCAGACACTTCGGCAAACCCTATAATGCTCTCGGTTTTCCCCCAAAGCCAGTCAGCAACGCTCGCATCCAAACGCAGAAGTCTTTCACTCCAGTTGCACGCTCTGCTCAGAAGCACTGCCGAAACCAAACTGTGTGCCCCTGAAGATGAACATCTTCCCAGCTCTTAAGGGAAAGTGCAGGATTTTGTGCAGAGCCCAGGTTCTTTTAGAGACTGCATTTCTAATGGGACAAAACTGAGGAAGCTCCGAGTGGCGGATTTCAGGGCTAAAGAGACTAGGACAACAACCCAGCAAATCAGGAATCGTAATGCACTGCCTCAACACGCATTTGTCCACAGTTGTCGCTTTGGAGGAAAATGACTCCAGTTGTTTTGTATGCTTGCAGTAATTCAAATGTCGAGATGCTGGGAAAAAGCAGCAACACAGGATCTACATGCTGCAGAGCGGAGGCCAACCCCATCAATGGAGCAATGAACCACGCAATTCACCACACAGACCACCACACTGGCAAAATCAGGCCAGAACCTTATCCCAAAACTGAAATGTCTCAACAGCCGGGACAGCTGACTAAGGGTGCTTTGTGATGGCTGCTTTTCCCCTTGCATGCTCCCAACAGCATCCCACAAAGTGATCCCAGGGCCAGGAACTGCACATTGGATGAGGATATGAAATGGCATGCTGGGAGAGGAGCAAAAGCAACTTGAGTGCACCAAGAAGCCCACACCACATGCTCTGAGCCCTCATGGATGTCCTGGGGCAAACGGTTTCCACCCCTTAGCTCCCTTAAAGACAAAACTAGTATCCCATGAAAAACAGCACTTATGAGGTTTAATGGTCACACTTCCAAAGACCAGAAAGACAAGGATAAGAAGGAAATGCAACAAATGCAACAAGGAGCAGGGCACAAAAAAAGGCCTATCCATAACATACGGATGTTGCATGTCTGTTTGCTTTAGCAAAGGTATCTTTTATGTACATTTGTGTGGTATGTGTGTGCACATGCACACCTGTGTGTACATATGCATTTTTAATACCCTGATATAAATACAACTTTTCTAATCAGCATGCTTCTGTGCGAATACACCGATGACCAGTCAGAGATGAGGAAAAAGAAAAATACTCAGTCTTGTAAGAAAAGTTTGAAAGCCAAAGCTGCAGCTTGTTGGGTAGGTAAATTGCAGCATGATGCACTGCAAGTTAGGTCCATCCTCAGAATATGTCCACTCTGTGAGCGGAGGAGAAGAGGGGGCATCTGAGCCTGTACCCATTAACCACACTCCTCACACCCAAACATGAATCCAGGTGCAGGCTTAGCCTCAGTTAACCTCTTCATTGCATCACCTGGATGCAAAAGGCATGAGTCAGGCCAGGTGAACTACATCCCCAGGGAGGGCTTGCTGGCTTATTGGCACAGAATGGCCTCTTTGAGCCTCAGCTACTTCTGGGCTAACGCTCAGCCATGTGGATGAAGAGGGCACAGGCCACAGCATACACTGCACTCAAGCCTGGTACTCACCTTGCAGCAAAGCTGCAGGTTCAGCTACCTTCAGAGCTCACTCAGCGCGGATCCAGGCTGGGGAGAATCAAGGTGCTAAAAACAACTCTGTTGCCTGGAATTTAAGGATGAAAAAATTAGGCAGTGAAAAACAGCAAACTTGAATAGGCAGAGACTCGGCTTCCCTGGACATCCCAGGCTAGCACTGCAGAACCCCATGGCTACCAAACAGCAAGGCCCTTGGGAGCATCCGATGTCCAACCTGTGGCTGTGGTATCTCTCCAGACAACATCCCTTGAGTTCCCACAGGCTCTCCCTATACGCATCACACAGCAGGAAGATGGGTGGACTCACAAGAGCTTGCCCCAACTTCCACGGTACGTACAGAGAAAGTGGGGAGAGTGCAGCCAGGAAGTGTCCAAGAGCATGAAGACACCACAGAAACGATTACAAAATTGAAGGGGTCAACAAATCAACAAGGGCCAACATACTGTCAACACAGTCAGGGACTGTCGTGGCAGCTGGTGGGAGATAAATAGCTTGACCCCAGCTGACATCAACAACAACATTTTTCAGAGCCTGAAGGGACCTTCACATTCATCAGGTTTGGCGTCCTTCATAATTCACACTGCTGAACACCATCCAGCACCTTCCCACATCAAGCCTGCAACTCTGGGTCCAGCGAGATCAAGACAGCTTGCAAAGATGTCATAACAGTTAATTTCCCCTCACTGCTAAAAATCTGCCCCACCACCTGCTTGACTACAGCAACAGCAAAGTGCTTTCTAACACACAGGTTTACACAGCTCCCAGAGACCTTATTCCCATGCAACCTATCCCTCCTTTCTGCCACAGAAGAAACTGCACATTAAAGCAAGAAATGGAAACAGAAAGCTATAAAACCAAGAAAGATGCCTTCAGCAAAATTTGTTTTGCAGCATGATTAGCTAGCACTGAGAGCCAAGTCCTGGAGTTTTCAGCCCACTTCCTTGCAGGACGACAACTTATGTTAACCCTCTAAGGCCAACCATGGGACAGGGTGACTATTCTCAAGAGTGGTAACACCACTAATCCTCTTTACATACCACGGCTCAAAGAAGATATAGTGGCACCGACCACTGATAACCAAGGGAAACCTCATCCATATCAAAACAGGTGCCTGTCCCACAGCTTCAGCACTGGCACTGAGAAGTTGTAGCAGGTTACGTTGGAGCCTGCAAAAATAATTACCTAAAGCTCTGCTCCCTTTTAATGAGACCTGCAGATGATGATCCAGAGTCGCTGTCCCAAGGGTATTCATGAAAGAGTCATGTAAATTCACAGCTGCTCCCTACATCTCAAAGTAGAGGAAAACTGGATGGAAACAAAACAACAGCCACAGGAAGAAACAATGAAGCTTTGCTTCTGCTCTCTTGGCCAAGAACAGAATTATCCCCTCACGAAATCTGCCGATGAAACAGACGGCGAATCCTCCGGGACGTAACTTGAGCGCTATCGCACTTCATTGCCAGAACCAGTCCGGTGCGCACCCGGGGGACACATGCCCACACCGTCAGCGTGGTACACGGCTTTACTCACTCCAGTAAGAGTTTCCAAGAGGAGGAGCGTGAAGTTAAGCCCACAGAACAACCAAGTTCTCAGTGATTTCAGGGAATTTTGCATTGCATCTTTAAGTACCCATGTTTCAAAACCCTGACATTATCCATATTTCATTTGTTTTGTATGCAGCTCTAGAGGTTGAAGATATCAAACCATCAAATGACCAGCGCGTCAACAACAACAGAGAGGAAACAGGAAAACATGGCTACAGCTCTCTTTAGGATACAGGTTGCTCTCCTCATGAGTCAAGCTAAGGTATGACGCACAGGGACTCCCTCCCTAGCCTTGCCATCCTATCAGCAGGCAGAAAAGCAAAAGCAACATATTGGCAAACCCTGCTCACCAGCTAGCTTTCCGTAGGATGCTTGTGTACTGTCTAGTTTGGCACAAAGACCAAGGACGTAGGAGTAAAAAAGACAATTAGCCAGACCATCAGCTATGCTTGAATAGGTAAACAGGTCGTTTTTTAATCGAGTTAGATAAGTGGTATTTCTCATCATTTTAGCACAGACACTTAAAATAATATTACCTAGCAGGGTTTTAGCCTAGGAGAATTGAGAAAGAATAAAAGGTCTGTCTAGGAGGGCCTTGCTTTGGAGAGTATGGAGCCCAAAACGTTCATAAACCAGTTACTCCTTTTGCCAACTCAGTCTTTTTGACTGAAAGCGAACCTGCTATAAATGAAAGTGAGAAATGACCCAATTCACATGAGGAAATACATATGATATTTGCATCTGCCCAAGCTCCATCCTTTCACACGCAAAGGTGATCCAGTGCTGTAGGAATGCTCTTACCAACTGGTTCCAAAGTCCTGTTCTCCCAGTCACAAAAGACTTCCGTGCAATCTGGAAGGAAAATTGAGATAGCAGATTAGTTGCTGCGATGAAAATTTTTTTACTTCCATTGTTAAGGACACGGACACCATCAGAGCCATGAGCTCTGGTGTCCAGCAAGAACCTGCATTCTTTGAGCTGCTTTGTATGAACAGCTGCAAAAGCAAGTGTTGGTTCCATAAGACATTACTGCTAAGTAAGGGAGAAGCACCTCCATTTAAAAAGAAAGAAGATATGAAGCTCTAAGGTGTTAAAGAGTATTAAGACCTCTAAATTATCAGAGATGCAAAACCAGAGGATTGTGAATTAGTTGAAAGGTACTTGATGAAAGTAAAAATTAGAATCGGTGATACAAAGCGTAAACCACCTATTTAACCGGCCTGTTTTCTTTAGGACCCTGACCACAGTGTGGGAAGAACCTTCTGGCCACCACCTAGTTAAGCGTTTCAGTATATGTTAAACTTGAGGGAACAGAAAGAGCCACAAAGAATCAAGATCTGTGCATTTCTCACTAGCAGGTTTTCTTATGTGTGTTTATACACATGTAACCACAGCCCAAGCTTGCAAGAACTTTAATTTTTAGCTTTTATCTTAATGATTCTCCTTCTAGAAACATAATGCCACTATGGCGCTGCTAAGAGCACCCAATTCCCCTGGGACAAAGAAGCTCTCCACATCTCTGAGCAATGGGTCCTGCATCTGTCAAGCACCAGGCAGCTTTCAAGATGCAACTGACAGCTGTGCTACAGGTGACATGAGTTTTTGGCCTCAGGAACCTGGATTACACAAGATGACCATTAGCCAGACAAACAGTGGGTTCCTTAGTGTATCTATCTGCCTTGCAACAGCTATTAAGTATGCAGCGTTTCCTAATTTACTGCACTATAGAGAAAACTGCAGTGTCCATCCATCAGTTTGCTCCCATGAAAGGCCTTTTCCCCAGTGAACACGCTCATCTGCTCAGCTAATATCATCGAGGAAGCCCTTCCTCACACATCGCAATAATGATGATGCAACATCTACTGCTTTGATCCTCTTTGGTTAAATACAACAGAATTTTTCAGGTATTAATAAACACTTATTATATCCATGTTACGTATTAAAAAAAAAAAAAAAAAAAAA